TACATTCAATCAAACACTATAAGAAAATCTACGAATACTGTATTTGATCAAAAAGTCAGCTCAATATCAATGGATAAATTAATTAACAAGTATCATAATTCTACTAAAAAATTTCTGATTGATGTTCTCTCATGCATATTTACTAGAATTTCTGAACGGTGTTATTGCAGTTGGTACGTTTGTTGTTGTGTTTGGCGACGCACTTGCCATTGTTGATGATGATGCATTTCTTGTTGGTGTTACTGCATCTAATAAGATGATTCACGTCTTAAGTGCCTTCTTTAATGCAAAATATAGATGGTCTTACCTGTTACTGCTGTTACTCTCGTAGACACTATGAAAATCCAAATTGAATATTAATAATCAATGGAAAAAGAAAGACAATAATTATTGCTCATTCGTGAAGACAAATTTCCCTGATAGGACCAGATGTAAACACATTAAGAGAAGACTCTTACTCTTCGGATACAAAGTCTAACTACTACGAAATCGTAGATCGCTATTCGACTTGCCTCTGTACTCCTTCCCAGTGAAAAATATTTACTGATTTCAATGAAATTATTGTGCACCAAAGTTCAAATTGAAATCGATTGATAATTTTGATTATAATCAATTATGGTTTAACCGTTACTTGATATTAATGCTAGCCCAGGGGAAATTTTTTTGATTGAAATCAGATTTTTCTGCAGACCAATCTGAATTATCAATATTGATAATTTGGATTGATCTGCAGAAAAATCTGATCTCAATCAAAAAAATTTTCACTAGGCTAGTATTAATATCAAGTAACGGTTAAACCGTGATTAATTATAATCAAAATTATCAATCGATTTCAATTTGGATTTTGGTGCATAATAATTTCATTGACATCAGCAAATATTTTTCACTGGGTTCTCGCATGTAAAACATTCCGATCAACGCTAAGTCATTTCAAGTTCTTACTTGTAGTAGTATTGGACACTGTTTGTGACAACGGTGGACATCGTTGAGAAGAAGCATATTCCATCGGATAGCAAACAGGAACTTTGCATCGAGTGTTATTAACACAGATGGTATTGGGTACCGAACAGGTCTTATTATCACTTTCACATGGAACTAAATCACGACATGATACGACAGTATCAGCACACATTCCACCTCCGGTCATTGTCATAAATAAACAATCACAGTCACCATTTGTTGAACATGGGACTGATTTCGCTCGGCACTCGACAGACGGACAACATCCGCAAGTCGGAGGTGCAGAATCGATCGTACTTTGACCTATAACAAAATTAATATGCAGTCAATTTCAGATCATTTGTGTAAACATGATCGTGAGAATCGAAGATTTTCGTTTTTATATTGGCTTTTCATTCAGATTAGTGGAATGCATATATTTTCTCTTACCTGAAACGATGCAAATAGCTAATCTAGAAATGAATTCATTTTATAAGAGTGATTTTTTCAGAATAAATGTACTTACATTGCTACTAATAACGTCGTCAAAAACCGTTGCATCGTATTGATTTAGAAAAGTGTCGTTTTGTCAAAAGAAAACTTGTACTTTATATAGGCCGAGAAAAATTCTATTTGTTTTGGCTAATGTATTGACTTAAGCTAAGACAATTAGAATATGTACGTTGTATTTGCGTCAATCTTATGCATCACATGTTTTGCCCATTGGTTTCAATAACA